AAACTTCGACTGTCTGGGTTCCTTTAATAAGTATACGAGGTCGTTTACCCTGAATTCTCTAGGATTTTGTTTTCTATCATAATAAGCTTTCGATCGAGCCTTGGCTCGACGCAAATTTTCGCCAGCAGTAGCTTGAGTAGTGGTAATCTTACTGAATAGGTCATCAAAATACTGTATATAAGTTCTTGGGATCTCTTCTTGGGCAAATTCTGAAGGTATTCGCGCTTTTCTCCCGAAAATAAGTTCATGGGGGGTGAACCCGGTTGATTCATGGACTGCTGTATTATAGGAGAACATCCCATAGACAATCTATTGATCCCAATCTTCCTCTGTACAATAATGTTTTAGGTATTCTATAAACACATGGTGTGCTCGTTCGAGAGAGCCTAGAGATTCTGGATGAAAAGCGGTTGATTTTATCTGTTTGATTTTAAAGATTTGACAAAATGTTTTCATCATTTGACTTGTGAAGTTACTACCTTGATCAGTGTGGATGACTTTTGGACATCTAAATCTGGCAATAAAATGTTTCGCAAAGGCAAGGGCAACAGTGGCTGAATCTATTTTAGATATCGGGATAGCGTCAGAGTACTTAGTGAGATTATCTTAAATTGTCAATAAATAACGATGTCCATTGACTGATGTTTGGGGTAATGGGCCGACAATATCCATTTGTATTTTGTCAAAGGCTTTTTCTGGGGTATCGGTTATTATCATGGGTTGTTTCGTTTTTACTCGTACTAATTTATTTTTTTGACAACTATCGCAGGTCCTAACAAACTTTGCAACATCACCCGTCATATTTTCCCAATAAAAATTTTCTCTAATACGATTATACAATTTTTTAACACCAAAGTGACCGCCCACAACAGAGTTATGGTATTCCCTAATAATATTCATCCGTTCATTCGGTGGGGGTAAATGTATTTCCCCTGAACAGATCGTAAATTTGTAATTTTCATTCGCGAATTTATCCCGTAAGTTATTTTCGATTAATGCCCAGAAATTGCGAGAGTATTCGTCCTTACCCTTTGAGAGACTAGCAGTTTTTATACCTAATTGTTCCATTACGATTTTTAATGCCGATATACAGTTTTCAACAGTGTCAATTTTAGGGCGTTCATTTTTAGTATTCTGTACGATCAGATGAAGGATATAATTTTGATTCCAACGGGTAGCCATCACTTCACCTAAATTACCTGGATTTTCCAATAAATTTTCGATAGAAAATTTGCCTTGGTTAAGTAATTCTCTACTTGACTTGGGTATGAAGGTACAATCTGCTGAAATCAACTGAATAATATTGTCTTTTCGCATACTTAGTTTATCTTTAGTATAAGAAAATTGTAAAGGGACTATCAGTAGGATTTTCCGTATTTCATAATAATTGGATTTAGTTCGTTTTCTCGTCGAGTCATTGTCGTTTGAACTATCACTATTTCTTTTTTTCTGAAATTGCCTGGCAATCCTCCAATGTGTTCTCGAGATCAAGTTCACACCGTACGCCATTGACACAGTCTCTTAAAGATTTAAATTCTGGCTGTACGTGCAAAACCTTATTACTGACATAACTTAACATTACTTGACGTAACTTGACATTACTTGACATTTGACTCGCAAGGCGCACTGCCACTACAGTCTTCAAAAGACATGAGTGTTGAATGTGCCCGCAAAGTCCTGAAATTTGGCTCATACCGCGCTCCATTTTACAGCCTCCTAAGAGGTGATGTATTGGATTGGCGTTTTGAACCCCTTGACAAAAATTTGGCTTCCATCGCACCTCGCTGTTACAGAACCCTAAGGTCTGAAGTTCCAAGTAAGCATGTAAAGCCCCATGACATAAATTCGCTCCAACAAGAGCACCTTGACATTGATTCGCTCCAACAAGAGCACCTTGACATTGACAGTTATCTTTTGAACACACTGGAGTCGCTTCGGTATTTTTACCACAAGACATTGTTTTTATATTACTTATAGAATTCGTTTTAAAAGAATTTTCTAAATTATCTGCCAGAAAAATAGAGCCTACAAATGCTTCAACGTTGAATTTACTATCGGTCTTATCTTTAGTCTTTGCGCTCGTGGCGAAATCTATAACTGGTATCTTGTCTGCGCAGTCAAGTACCGATTCTAGACTTCTAGAGCTGATTGATGAATTTTAATGGTGTTCGTCTTCTAAATCCAAAGTTTTGTTAACGTCAGGGTCAATAGGATTTCGGGAGAGGGCATCGGCATTAGAGTTAATTTTACCGGGCTTAAAGACTATGTCAAAATCATATTCGTTTAACTTGATTCTCCATCTCAATGATTTTGAAGTTGGGTCTTTAGTGTTGTGAAGCCAGACTAAAGGGCGATGATCGGTTACGAGGGTGAAAGAATGACCATATAAATAAGGTCGAAAATGATTTACTGCAAAAATTATAGCAAGGAGTTCCTTTTCGGTGGTAGAATAGTTTATTTCCGTGTTTGAAAGTGTCCGAGAAGCAAAGGAAATTGGCAAATCCTTCCCAATTGGGCCTTGACTTAAAACTGAACCAAGTGCATAATTAGAAGCATCGGTAGTAACTAT